AAAAAAAAAAAAAAAATCTTTAAATTTTATTTTGAAAAATTCCAAACCTGCAAAAAAATGGAAAGAATAGTACAGAGAACATTTGTGAACCCTCTCCCTCGATTTACTGTCTGTTTAGCTACATTCATTTCATCTCTCCCTACACATACATACCCACTTGTGCACGCACCCACCCAATCTCATAACGTACACATTTCCTTTTTGCCAGACCACCTGAGAGAAGGTTGCAGATGTCGTAACACTTTACACCTTTAATATTTAAACTTGCATCTCCTGTGAACAGAAACTTTCTCCTACATGACCTCACCACTCTACACACCAGAGAAAGTAAAAGTTAATTCAGTGACATCATTCAACACACAGTCCATACTAAAATTTTTCCAATTATTTAAAATCGTTCTATATAGCCTTGCTACTCAAAGCATTGTCTGTGGACTAGCAACATCAACATCACCTAGAAACGTGTTTGACTTGGAGAATTTCGGCTATACCCCGGACCTACTGAACAGAATTGGAATTAAGGCGAAGGAAGTGAATTGCTTCTGGTGCAAAATTTAGGGAGATGCTTACTCTTGGGGTCGTATAAGTATAGTGTTGGCACTTGGCATGACCCTGCGAGTGAGTGCCTCCTTAAATTTTGAGCCCATGTCTCCTGTCTTACCTTTTTGCCCTTCTACTGAATCAGAATCTGTATTTTAATAGGGTGCCCAGCTGATTTGTATGCCCATTAAAACCTTCAGAAACACTACTTCAGCTTGTTCTTGTTCTTTTTACAATCTAGGATTCATTTATAAGTACATGTTGCATTTGGCACTTTCGGTTTCCCTAAACTCACTCTTTCCTTCTGTTCTTCTGATAGTGAATCTTCTGAAAGTCTAGGTCAGCTAGAACACCACATGAGTTATACTGTGTTCTTCTGCTTCCCATCAGGAAGCACATGTCAGACTATCCCGTTACTGTCACTGCCAATATTGGGCACCTTATGTAAGCCGATTACTGCCAGGTCTCCCCATGTGAAGGGCACATTTTTTTCCTTTATAATTAATAAAACGTGCGGTGATTCTTTCAGGCCATGTGAATGTACTGCTCCTCAACCACCTATAACCGATGGTTTTAACATCTCATGATAAAGCTTGCCTGAATTCGTTTTTACATTATTAATTATCAGGTGCGATATTCTGACAGTCACAGATTTCATTTTTTCTCTGTGTGTGGGAGATGATACAAGTAGCAGTGCTCATTCTCATGGTTAAGAAAGAAAACTAAAAAAATAAAACCCTCAGGAAAAAAAGAAAGAAAGAAAACTCATAAGTATTTATGCCTTTCATAAAACAAATGTTAATTTGTGTTAATTTAATGTTAATTTATTAACAAGCATAATTCAAAATTACCAGCTTTTTAGCTGTTAATGGTTATATTCACAGGCCATAAGGACAGTCTTTGAAAACTGTATTTCAGGATTCTCTATTTAGAAATATGAGTTGCAAAGATAATTTCATGATATAGAATAAACAGTATCTGCAACAGGGAGCATTTTTCTCTTTTTCTTATCTTGAGATTTCTTTTACACCTTCAAGATGACTTACGAGAATGCTACTTGATTAAGAGAGGGAAAAAAAACACTCCTGAGAAGCTCAAAATTACACTAAGAAAGAAGCAAGACAAGCATCTTTTTGACAGATGGGATATGGAGCATGTGTGCAAATTGTGGCCCTTGAACTAATTTTTGTGAAAAAATTTACTGAATTTGTGTTGCTCTTTGCTCATTTGCTGTTTAATATTAAGGTGGTGTAAAGCATTTGCAGCTCTGTGAACACTTGGACCAAGTTACAGTGCTGCCTTTCTGAAAATGTTTTCCCGGATTCAAAGCAAATGCAGCCCGTTAAGTTTTTTTTCTAGCTAACAAAAATATTTTCATTTTCTTTGTGACTTGAGCACATTCAGAATATTCACACCATAGCATTATTAGCACAGTACACTAGTGTGTACTCACTTTACTATTTTTCTTGATCAAGGGAACTTAAGAAATAGGCTTAAATGTTGCTTACTATTTTAGGTAAATGTCTTAGGGTGTTTGGTCTACGGGTTCTTGACGGTTGGCCCCAGTCTGTCTTTCCAGTCTAATCTCCCAAATACCCATCTCCTATAAATTAATACTCTGCCAACTTCCTACCATTCCTTTTCACATTGTCTTGTCTCTGGACATACTCCCTCTTCCTGGAATGCCCTTCTTCACTTGTTCATGTTCGGTTTATTCTTCAGGACGCCAGCCTCTGATTTCCTAATTTGCAATAAAAAATCAGTTTTCTAAATAAATTTTTTCTGTAATAGCATTTTGTGTCCTAAGTTGGGCTGTGTATTCAGTTTTAAGCAGTTAGGTAACATTAGGAGATAAACCTGTAAAATATTGAACATATAATAAGCACTCATTAATATTAGTTGATTTTTCTTTTTTTGCTTTTCTCCTGCTTAGGTCAGACAACTAGATTCAGCACTGGAAATTTGTAAGGAAGAACTTGCCTTGCACTTGAATCAATTAGAAGGAAATAAGGAAAAGTTTGAAAAACAGATAAAGAAGAAATCTGAAGAGGTAAATTAGCATTTTTATTAAAAAACAGTTTTCACATGATTTCTTTTTGAGATATTATTTTTAAGATTCTTTAAAAGTACATCTTTATGTAGCTGATAAACTTTCCATTAAGGGGTGCCTGGGTGGCTCAGTCGTTTAAAGCTTCTGCCTTGGGCTCAGGTCATGATCCCAGGGTCCTGGGATCAAGCCCCCCATCAGGCTCCCTGCTAAGTGGGGAGCCTGCTTCTCCCTCTGCCCCTCCTCCCCCACTTGTGCGCACTCTCTCTTTCTCAAATAAATAAAATCTTTTAAAAAAAACTTTCCATTAAAATGTGAATTCCAGTTTTATATTCTTTGTTTATAACAAACTAATTCTGTGCAGTACAAAATATGACACCTTAAAATTCTGATTCTTTTATCTATTTCTAAGGAATCGGAAGATTATTGTTAATATCACAGAAAGTAATTCTAATATAAAATGATTAAGACTTAGAATATTGTTTTAGATTTAGAGGCGTAAAATTCTTCAAACTTTTTCTTTTTCTTTTTTTTTTTTAAGGTTTTATTTATTTATTTGACAGAAACACAGCTAGTGAGGGAACACAAGCAGGGGGAGTGGGAGAGGGAGAAGCAGGCTCCCCACGGAGCAGGGAGCCCGATGCAGGGCTCAATCCCAGGACCCTGGGATCATGACCTGAGCCGAAGGCAGACGCTTAACAACTGAGCCACCCAGCCGCCCCATCTTCAAATTTTTTCATTTTATTTTTGCTCCTTCTAGTTGTCTGAAGGATTGAGAATTAGGTTTGGAAATTCAACTTTCTCTATTGAGATGAGTTTCTGAGATACTGGATGGATGACTCAAGTTATCTTATTCATATCTTATTCTATATCTCAGTGTCTACCACTTTGCTTTCAACATAATAGGTATTCACTTTGCTCAAAGGTATAACCTTAGTGAAGAGTTCCTTTATTTCTTTGTTAGAATTTATAATACAAATTTAAAATAAATTCTATTTTAAAAATTAAATATAAGCTTTAAACCTTAAATTCATGTTTAGAAATAGTCCCCCAAAAACGTTCATCAAAGTTGACTTGAATGCATCAGAAAGTCCCAACCAAAAAATAGAATCCTTTCTATATCTTTAAAATGGAGAGAATTTTATGCAGAGAATTAGATACACAGGTGATGGAAGAGGGGAGAAGCAAACAAAGCATGGTAAGGTGACTCAGATTATCATAAGCAAGGACCTACTACCATCATCAGGGATAGAGGAATATCAGGAAGAGATGCGATGATTATAGTCCAGAAGCAGGGCTGCCTAGTGGAGTGAGGTCCACAAAGGAATCTGTCTAATTGAAACTGAGGCCGTAGAGGAGGAGAACTGCTCCAGGTCCCTCCCACTGGCTAAATCTTTCTGTTATCCAAAAGGGAATTTCTTGCAATACCTGGAGCAGAGCAGGGGGAAGGCAGGCATAGATCTAAAAGCAAATATATAGTTGACTAGCACTTCAGACTTAGGTGTATCACATAATTATGTAAGTTTAGAGATTGAGAAAAGGAACTCTTCACATTTTATTGGTCCTGTCTTCTTCCTTCCATGTGTCTTCATGAAGGCTTTTATAGCATCTTTGACAGACAGGCATATATTTCTCTACTGCAGTATATGGAATTTAAATTACTTCAACTATGGATACTTTGACTTTTTAAAATAGAAATGTTATTTTTATTTTACTATGAACTTCTTCAAACATTACTTAAACATTTCTTTGATAGCCCTCACTATCCTTCAGTGTAGATGGACTTGGCAGAGATGGAATCTGGAGACAAGCAGTGTTCATAACAAGAGAGTTTGTTGAGCTTTACACTTTGTGCTCTCAGAAACCACATCAGAGACTAGGGTGGATAGTAGGCATTTACCTAAAATGAACTTAGAATTATTTCCAAAACGACTGGAAATAAAAACCTAGGCTCCAAACTGAATTAGAAAATAGAAGTAGTAGTCAAGTATGTACAACTGTACTAGGGAATAAGTAAGTAAATTAGAAAGATTTGCATTTTTCGCTGCTGAATTATTATCTCAGTGCACATGTATTTGGCTTACTTAACAGGTTATCTTTCACTCTTTCACATATATCAATAAGAAATGGAGAAAAATTCAATTACTGTTTACTTTGTTTTCTTAAGTACCACCCCATACATTTATTTACTTTTGAATTATTTGTCTTTAGAGCAAATTTTAGTATCAATGCTGGTTAATATAATTAAGGTTGATCCTTGAACAATGCAGTGGTTAGGGGTGCCGACCCCCTCCCCGCCATGTAGTTGAAAATCCCCATATAACCTTTGATTTCCCAAAAACTTAACTATGAATAGCCTACTGTTGACTAGACGCCTTACCATAACATAGATGATTAACACATATTTTCTATGTTATATGTATTATATACTGTTTTCTTACAATAAAGTGAGCTAGAGAAAAGAAAATGTGATTAAGAAAATCATAAGGGAGAGAAAATACATTTACAGTACTGTACTGTAAAAAATCTGCACGAGTGGACCTATGCAGTTCAAACCCTTATTGTTCAAGAGTCAACTGTATTATCTTATATCAGACTTGTGAGGTTTCCATCATATATAGCTAGGGTTTAGAAAATTGGATTTGAGGCCACCTGGGTGGCTCAGTCGTTAAGCATCTGCCTTCGGCTCAGGTCATGATCTCAGGGTCCTGGGATTGAGCCCTGTGTCTGGCTCCCTGCTCAGCGGGAAGCCTGCTTCTCCCTCTCCCTCTGCCTGCCGCTCTGCCTGCTTGTGCTCTCTCTCTCTCTGTCAGATAAATAAATAAAACCTTAAAAAGAAAAAAAGAAAATTGGATTTGATTCATAGTGCATCCATTCTTTTAGTAATAGGTGATGTTTTTTTAGTATATGTGCTGCCGAAGCGAGCACAGTAATAGGTGATGTTATAAAGATGTTTTAATCTTTTAAATCAGTAGATATTCCCAAATCACATACTAGCTGAATAATTAAGTGACTCTAGAGCATACTGGTAGGAAGTTATCCAGTTGTAAAAACTAAATGTTAATTATCCACCACAAAAAGCTAATAAATATTCCTCTGAAATTCTGCCTCAGGCAAATATTATTTTCTACATGTTGAATAAGTACATTTATGATTAAAATAATAGTAACTTTGGAGTTCTGAATCATTTTGAAAATATTTTAATTCCATATTAACGTGCTTTAAAAAGTGATAAAGTATGATGCAAAATTATGTTGTTAACATGATAGGAGAAAATAAACACAAAATAGATGTGAATAAGCCTAAACATTTTTTGCATAAAATCAATCATTTAATTGATATTTTTATTCAAATTGATAGACTTAAATTTTGAGAAGTTGGCATCATCATATCAGTAACTTTTCTGGGTTATATTTTATTTAATTAATTTATTTTTAAAGATTTTATTTTTTATGAGAGAGAGAGAGAGAAAGCATGTGAGCAAGGGGAGGGGCAGATGGAGAGGGAGAGGCAGAGAATCTCAAGCAGACTCCTCACTGAGCACAGAGCCTAACTCAGGGCTTGATCTCAGAACCCCGAGATCATGACCTAAGCCAAAACCAGGAATCAGACTCTCAACTGACTCAGCTACCCAGGCACCCCTGGGTTATATTTTATTTTTTGTAATAATGGTGAGAGAGTATTTTTCCTTCAGATATAGATTAATCTAGATAAAGTTAATTGTCAAGTAGATTTTTTTTTTTAAAGTTGTGTTTTGTTTTTTTTTTAAGATTTTATTTATTTATTTGACAGAGAGAGAAAGCACAAGTAGGCAGAGAGGCAGGCAGAGGGAGAGGGAGAAGCAGGCTCTCCACTGAGCAGGGAGCCCGATGTGGGGCTCGATCCCAGAACTCTGGGATCACGACCCGAGCCGAAGGCAGCCGCTCAACCGACTGAGCCACCCAGGCGCCCCTGTCAAGTAGATTTTATAGTGTAAATTCTACTTTCTTCTTGACCCTAATTATAAAGTGATAAATCCTTTAGGAAATCTCTTCTCTGAATATAATAACTTAGCAGAGAATATAATGTAAAAACTATTTCTTATATTTTAAAGTCAAGTGGAAGTTAAAGGGCAATGCAATAAAATGCCACTTTAAATTGAATAGATGCAGGTTGATACTCAATATTTTTAATTGTAATTATTTTGCCAGTGACCAGGTTGCTGAAATAAATTTTTTATTGTTATTATGTGGTATGGTTTCTTGGCGTTTTGGCTAAGGCTTATCTTTTTTTCTTCTGTTTTACCTTATCTTAATATTTTGTCCATTTTTTTTCTCTGACTAGGAAAGTAAGTATAAGACAGGATGTTCCAATAAAGAAAAAATAGTATTTAAACTTATCTTGCAGCAGGTCAGTTCTATATAAAATAAACTACTGCACTAAGTGTGATCTGCAGTTTTCTTGGGGGCTAGCAAGTAAAACAAAAAAACAGGTGATACTGATACATGTTTGCACTAAATAAATTATTTTCATGTAGACAAAATTAAGTAGATTAGCATAAAAAAAGGACTATAATAATAGAATAAGAAATTGGTTAGTTGCCTAAGGTTCTCCAAATTTACAGTGTCATCATATAATGAAGAAAGGTGAAACTTAAGAGCTTCTCCTCATGACCAAAGAATATATGGGCCCTGAGCCCTTCATGATGCTGCTGACTGTTCAACTGCTGGATAATTAGAAAAAGGGACCAAATCAGGGTTCTCTTCCACTATTTCTTAGCAGTTTAAAATTCCTTTCTTCTGGAATACTTATTGGAAAGATTTTTTTTTTTTTTGTTAAAGGAATGACTTTTTCCTTCATGTTAAAAATAGTTATTATGTAAGCAACAATAAGATATTTTTAAAGGATTTACCTGAAATCCACTTTCTAATACATAAGTTTTCAGTTTTCTATTTGTCTGAATGTTTTTTTTTTTATAATTTTTTTTTTAAGATTTTATTTATTTATTTGAGAGAATGAGAGACAGAGAGCACGAGAGGGAAGAGGGTCAGAGGGAGAAGCAGACCCCCCGCCAAGCAGGGAGCCCGATGTGGGACTCGATCCCGGGACTTCAGGATCATGACCTGAGCCGAAGGCAGTCGCCCAACCAGCTGAGCCACCCAGGCGCCCTGTCTGAATGTTTTTCATAATTATGTTAATGAAATGTAATTCTGGGGGGCTTTTTCCACTTAATTTCATTTTGTAAAATATTGTATTTCCTACTGTCTTTTAAATTATGATTTTAAATGGTTGCATCATTTTAAATCAAGATTGATATATCATCATTTATTAAACTTTCCCCTTTTGGGAGCACATAAAGAATATTATAAATAAATAGTAAATTATGCTGCATTATTAATATGATTTTAAAATAATTTCTTTGGGCAGATTTATTGGATTTGGATTACTAGGACAAAGGGAATTTTTTTCCTTTTTTTTTTTTTAAAGATTTTATTTATTTATTTGACAGAGAGAGACACAGCGAAAGAGGGAACACAAGCAGAGGGAGTGGGAGAGGGAGAAGCAGGCTCCCCGCCAAGCAAGGAGCCTGATGTGGGGTCAATCCCAGGACCCTGAGATCATGACCTGAGCCAAAGACAGATGCTTAATGACTGAGCCACCCAGGCGCCCCGAGAGTCAGCCTTATAAGCAGGCCCTTCTAACACACCCTTCCATCATAAAAGTGAACCTGCCCTTCCATATAACAAACAATAGCCATAAATACAATTATCCCACATGACAAATGAAGATAATAAGGAAGACAGCATTGACATTTTATGACTTTTTATTTGAAATGTCATTTTAATGAGAAATGTATGTATTTGTTAGGTATACTGTTTACAGAAAGAACTAAAGATAAAAAATCATAGTCTTCAAGAGACTGCTGAGCAGAATCTTATTCTACAGCATACTCTTCAGCAACAGCAGCAAATGTTACAACAAGAGACAATTAGGAACGGAGAGCTAGAAGACATTCAAACTAAACTTGAAAAACAGGTATATCTTACTGGTCAACATAGTTTCACTTGTATGAAATAGAAATTTTAAAAATCGATAATAAGTATTTTGTTATATTGCTATTTACCTCACAGATTTCATATTATAAGAAATATTCTGTGTTAACATTGAAAAATGGGTGAAGTTCTATTTGTGTGTGTTCTATCCTGCATCTCTAATACCATGGGCACATTTTTGTCATCCATAGAACTTAGTTATAATTTAGACTTTTTCATTCCATCATGTTTTTGGATCAGGATGCGTGATAATCCCTAAGGATATGCTAAAGCAGTGCACTACAAGAAAAATCCCAAAGGAAACTACTTACTTCTAAAAATGTTATTACTCCAGTGAAAGAATCCTAGGAATTTTATACTAGAATCGAATCTTTCCTCTTTCATTCATTACCAGTTCATCTGAAATCTTCAGACAGATAATTCCTTTTTTTGAGTTGTTTTTCTTTTTCAAACTTTACAAAAATGTATAAATTAGGAAATGATAGTTCCCTGTAATCTCACAACACCTCACCTTTTGTCATTTGGATGGCTTTTTATCTACATATTCTGAATTCATCCTCAGCCTCTCCAGTGCAACTAAAGAATCCCTCAATACATTCAAACATATCAGGCAGGTATTCTCTATTTTCTTTTTTTTTAGAGACAGCTGTTCTGTGGCTCTCCATCCCTTTTGTTAAAGTCTAGACCTCTTGCTTGCTATGCTTGTTGTTCAGCTTCATCTGGAAGCATTTCTTCATCTTATCTGTGTTTGATTCCCACTTCCTAAGTCCCTTGTTGTTGTCTCTGGCTTGTAGAATTGATGAAAATTCTTGTTCTTTCTGAAGTCATTTTCATTTCCATAATGATTTTATGGTTCTCTCTCTTTTTTTCCCCCCTTAAATCTACCAGTTCATTTATATTTTTCATTTGGTAAATTCTTTTTCTTCTTGATCTTTGTTTTAAGAGATTTTTGTATGTTCTTTAACTTCTTCGAGGGTCTAAAGAAGTTTATATCTAAAAATTTCTGTAGTGTTTGGAGTAAGTTTTCCATTGTATACAGTATTCTCTTTGTGCCTTTCATTCATATTCCTCTATGCATAGATTCCATGTTAGATTCTTTCAGATTATTACTCATCTTTAGATTCTTTCTGCTTATGAGTGTGCTATTTAATAAAACACAGAGTGGATGGGTTTTAGTGATTCCCTTTAGTTTTTACACTGGGTACTATTTTAATTTTATTCTTGGAACTTGAGTTAGAGGTGTGGATATTAATAACTTATAATCTGTATTCAGTTCTCTAGTGAGAGGTTTTAGAAGAGCAGAGAGGATATTAAAGTCATTAGCCAGAGATTAACTTGAAGAGCACAGTCATGTAAATGTTCATTGAAAACATGGAGTGGCTGAGATTAACTAGGGAGAAAATACAGAATGAGAGGTGAGAAGATTGACTTGGGCAGATGTCTCTGAGATACGGTACATAGAAGCCAAAGTAAGTATTTCATGAAATTAAGAATGATCATTGGTGTCATGGGCTGCTGAGATCAATATCAAGTAGAATGAGGGTTGAGAAATGTCCACTAGAATTATCAACATGGAGGTCATTAGTGACATTGCTCAGTTTCTATAGAAAATGGCTAAATTGCTTTGGGTTGAGGAATGAATGAGAAGTGAGAAGATGATACAACAAGCATAGAAAACTGAGAAATTGGGCTTTGAAGAGGAGGAAAGAAAGGGTGGTGGTGGTAGTTGGAGGAGGTAGAGGTTTGGGTAGTTTTTTATGATGGAAATGTCTTGAACATGTTTAAATGCTAATATAAAGAAGCCAGAAGGAGAGAGTAGTGATAGTCAATAGTATGAGTTCCTGAGAAAGTGGATAGGTTCCTGAGAAAATGAACCCAGGACACCAGTGAAGCAATTTGACTTATATAGGAGGAAAAATACCTCCCTCACTGTAGGAGAACAGAGGAAATAATGAATAGGAGCAAATGCAAGTGGTAACATTTGAGGGCAGTTGGGAATTGAGAAATCCTTCAGTGAATGAGCCAGTTTGTGAAGAAGGAAAGCAACATAGTTTGACAGGCGAAGAAAACATTTCACGTGGGGATAATGAAAGGGGAAACATTAACCATTATTTTGTTCAATTCTTGTAAATCCTATTTTAGTGTTACGATGTGGCTACTTCTATAAATAGGTATATGAATGAAATATCTTCCACGAAGTTAAGTTTTGCTTTTTTATTTCCAAAACATTTGCTTTCTGGTCTGTACTTTGAGTTTTATAATACATCTTGAAACTGAATGATAGGCTAGACTACATATTTATATATATTTTTTTCTTCCAAAGACTGTTATGTGACACATTCCAAAAAATGTGACTGAACTTAAAATACTTAAACTTATTTTTACAAGGTATCGAAACTGGAACAAGAGCTTCAAAAACAAAGGGAAAATTCAGCTGAAAAGTTGAGAAAAATGGAGGAGAAATGTGAAGCAGCCACACATGAAGCCGATTTGAAAAGGCAAAAAGTTATTGAGCTTACTGGTACTGCCAGGTAAAATGAATATGTTACTTTTTCTTTTTCTTCCTATTTCAACATCAACAAAAAATGTTGATTCAAAGAGAATCAGTTCTATTGAGGCTAATATTAGCACTTGTTTACTTAGTGAATATCACTTTGGAGTTACCAACAAATGGACCTAAAACTTTCTTTCACTATGTTGATTTGTCTATAGGTAGAGGATCTTCCATGTTGGAATAAGCTCAGGACTGACTGAAAGTTAGTAAACCTGATTCTCTCACTGTTAATAACTATTTGTCTTATCCCAGATGAGTCACTAACCTTCCAGTTACCTCATCTGTAAAGCAAGAAAGTTGCACTAGTTCTGGAAATCTCTAGTCCCTTGTAAAGCTAAAAAGGATAACATAAATAATAAAGGTCTGAATAAAAATAACTGACTTGATTCTCCTATGAGTAGTATTGTCATTATGGTGAATATTTTGATTGCTTGGCTTCCTTAGTTTCTGTGTTGCAGATAACAGAAATTCCAGATGAATGAGATACCTATCCATGGATGTTCTCAGTATACAAAGCTAACTGTAGTTAGATTGAAAAGACGGCTAGCCTTGCTAAATATTACCAGGTAGCACGGTCGTACCTAGTGGTACATAATTGGTGCAGAATTACAATCCTTTAGTTGGAGCATTTTTAATAATATGACCTAAGTGTGACCTAGTATTCTGACTAGATGTTTTGCTGATATTTGCCGTTATAGAACTTGCAGATTTTGTTTAGTCAGAGACAAGTCAGTTGGCTTTTAGGTTTCCAAATTATCGTTTATTAATTGTTTTATTTTTTGTTTTTAACTAGGCAAGTAAAACTTGAGATGGATCAGTACAGAGAAGAACTCTCTAAAATGGAAAAAGAAATAATGTACCTAAAAAGAGATGGAGAAAATAAAGCAATGCATCTCTCTCAGTTAGACATGATCTTAGAACAGACAAAGACAGAACTAGATAAGAAGACAAATTCTGGTAAGCAACATGTTAGCTGAGCTTATCTGCCTGTATATTTATATTTAAAAAGTAGAATAATAAAGTGAGAATTTGGGTTAGTAGAACTGGAAGGGACAATGAGTGGTCAGTTTTTGCCTCTTGTAGATGAATAAAATTGGATATTCTTAATTATAATTATTCACAAATTTTTAATAACAGATTGTTTTTATGTAGTTCTAAAATTATTTTTTCCTTTTAACAGTGAAGGAATTAGAAAAATTACAGCACCACACTGAAACTGAACTAACAGAAGCTTTGCAGAAACGGGAAGCATTAGAGTCTGAACTCCAAAATGCGCATGGAGAGTTAAAAAGTACTTTAAGACAACTTCAGGAATTGAGAGATGTACTACAGAAGGCTCAATTATCATTAGAGGAAAAATACACTACTATAAAGGATCTCACAGCTGAACTTAGGTGCGTTAAATAGTAAGAAATGATATCACAATTACAGGTATTTCACTTTATTACTCTGACTTCTTGGGTCATACAGTAAAGTTTACTGTTTAATCCTAGATGTCTAAATTTCTCAACTGTCTTTGGCTCACTGTTGTTCATCCCAGTCAGCCTGTCCCATGCTCCATCTAACTAATTCAGCCATTCCTCATGACTAATATTTCTATCCTTGGTCTTTGGACATTATATTTTCACCCTCTCCTATATTACATAGTGGTAAAAAATGATTGGAACAGCATACAGCAGTGGTTAATAGCAAAATAATGTTAATAATGACAATGTTTTCTTTGTATTAAGACCTTATTTTGTGCCAGGATTATGCCAGGGGCTTCCTATATGATCTGACTCATTTCTTTACAATAAACCTATCATATACATATTACCACCTTTTTATACTTGAGAAAACTGAGGCTTGAGAAAATTAAGTAAAATACCCAAGGTCACATAATCAGGTCCAGAGAAGGGAGTTAAACACAAGTTTATCCAACTCTAAAATCTGGGTTCTTAGATTAGCAATGATAGCATAAAATGCTGTTCCAGCACACATCTATGGTGAGTGGGGGTGGAGAGCCAGACGAGAACCAAGGTGTGGGAAATAGATTCCAGAAAGGAAAACAGAATTACAAACCAGGATGTGAAATGTGGGATGACAGGACAGAGAGCAGCAAGAGGACCCAGGAACTTAGATGTATCCCATGACTCAGTGCAGGACCCCGTCTCTTTTCTACCCACAAATTCATTCTTAGTAAATTTCATATAAGTTTAAATACTGTGTGTCAGACTTCCAAACCCACATCTGTAGTAATGACCTCTAGTAATGGCATCTTAAACTTGGCCAAAACACGACTGTTTTTTTTTTTCTTCATAACCCTTCCCTTCCTCCATCTCAGAATCATGCAGTTGGAGCACAACCAGAAATCTGAAAGATTAGTCTTAATCTCTTTGCCTGTCTCTTTTTTCTTCCAACCTATTAGGAATTCATGTCAACTTTATTTCCAAAACATATTCTGAAATCCATTGATTTCTTGGCCTCTTTTCTGTTACCACCTTAGCATAAGCCATCATCATCTCTCACCTGGTCTGTTGCTGTGGTTTCCCTAATGGTCTCCCAGCTTAAATGCCAGACCCTCCCCAGAGTCCATTTCAGTTTATGGAGTAAGTTTATGATTTAAAACATAACAGAAATGGACTTAAGTTTATTATTTAACACGTAAATCAGATTATATTGTGTCCCTACTTAACCCTTCCAATGGCTTCCCAAAATACTCAGAATAAAATCCAAGCTTCTTGGGAAATGTAAATCAGAACTGCAGTGAGATACTGCTTCACACCCTCTCAGATGAGCATGATAAAAATAAACAAAAAACCCCAAAACTGAAAATAACAAGTGTTAGCAAGTGTGTAGAGAAATTGGAACCCTCCTACATTGATGTTGGAAAACTAAAATGATAAAATTGCCTGTGGAAAACAGTTTGGCATAGTTAATAAGTCAAATATAGAATTACCATGTAACTCATTAATTCTACTCCTAGTTATTTACCCAAAAGAATTAAAAACATCATGTTAAAAAAAAATGATGTATAAATGTTCATAGCAACTCTGTTCACAGTAGCCACTGAATGGAAACAACCCAAATATTCATCAGTAGTTGAATGGATAAACACAATGTGATATATCCATATAGGGAATATTATTCAGCCATGAAAAGGAATAAAGTACTGATATCTGCTACAACATAGATGAACCTTGAAAATATTAGGCTAAATGAAATAAACCAGATATGTTTATATAATTCCATTTATATGAAATATCCAGAATTAGCAAATACATAGAGATAGAAAGCAGATTAATGGTTGCTGGGAACTAGGGGGTGGGACAATGGAAAATAACTGCAGATGGGTGTGAAATTTTCATTTGGAGTAATGAATAAGTACTGGAAATAGTGGTGATGGTTACACAACATTGTGAATTTACTTAACGTAACTGAACTGTACACTTTAAAGTGATTAAAATGGTAAATGGTTAAAATGGTAAATGTTATATGTATTTTACCACGATTAAAAAAAAAAAAAAGCCAAGCTCCTTATCATGGAATACAAAGCCCTAGATGATAGGGTTCCTACCTGTTTCTCTGGCCTCATTTCGTATTGTTCCCTTTTCTCCTGGCCTTTTTGTTGGTACTTAAAACTTAGTAAATTTTTCCTACCTTTTGACTTTGCTGTAGCTGTTTCTTTGGCCTGAAATAATGGTTGAATGGCCAACTTCTTGCCCTTCATATTACCTCAGAGGGCCCTTTTCTGACCACCTACTCTCAAGTAGCCACCCAGGCACTATCTCATCACTGTCTTTAATGCTCTAACATAGCAATTTATTTATTTTTTTTGTTTATTTAGTCTCTCTTCTCTACTGGACCTATTAGTATGTATGCTCCATGTGATGAAGGACATCTATCTTGTTGGCTATTAAACTCACAGTACATAGAGGCCTGATGTATAGGAAGCATCCAATAAATATTTGCTAAATGGTTAAGTGAATGAGTAGATGAAAGAAGTAAAAATGAAATCTTAAATTCTAGCTGATAGCTGAATTTTTGGAAACTCAGCTATTCACTTATACAATTATCTTTAGAATTCATTTCATAATAACTTATTAATGTAGCCTTGTATTTTATAACTGCTGAAACTTTTTAAAAAAGATTTTATTTATTTATTTATTTATTTATTTTAGAGAGAGCCTGTGAGCAGGGGGGAGAAGCAGAGGGAGAGGGACAAGCAGACTCTGCACTGAGCGCAGAGCCTGATGAGGGGCTTGATCCCATGACCCTGGACATCATGACCTGAGCCTAAATCAAGAGTTGGTCACTCAACTGACTGAGCCACCCAGGCACCCCTAACTGTTGAGACTTTTAAGAGAATAGTAAATAGTTCATTAAAGAAATTCACAATCTGCTTTTTAAAATCAGTACCTTTGTTCAATATTGTTCATATTTAAGTCTGGAAAACTATATGAAGATTTTTGAGATCAACAACATTTTTAGCCTTTGTCATATCAAAACATAGAGTTCCAAATTAAAATTCTTTGATTGCATTCTCTGATCTGAGTAGTAGAAGTCTTAAAGTTGTGTCAGTATTAAGCATTTTTATAATATAAAATTATAAATAAGTTAAGGTTTTAGGAGAGCTAGAGTTTACAAAAAAAAATGTTTCTATATTAGACTTCAATACTTCACTATATGTAAGGCGTCATTTGAGTAAAATTCCCATGAGAAACACAGTGGTCATTGACTGAGCTGTGGATATCAGAGATACCAACCATGAGATAAATGCCTCATTCAAATGTAATAAACTCACAGCTAGTATATGGAAATGACTTTCAAATGCTCCCCTGATCTGTAAATGAAAAATATGGACATATTTTAAAAATTCTTATACTGATTCAGTTTTATATCTTGGAAGTACTTTAACATTTAGCTTAAATTGTCTACAGTAGTAGTGTTTGAGTTAACTTTTGCCTTTTGAGAATACTTTATTAAAGTAACTATTGATACCAGTCATTTTCTTTATTCAGTATTTCTTTAATTTGAGCCCTTTCAAAGGCCAGAAATAATGGCATATATTTTATCACTTTTAGCTTACAGGACGCTAACCCAATTGACTTAATTTTTTAAAACTATAATATTTCTACTATTTGCTTTGATCTTTTTCCTTTGATAAATTGCAGAGAATGCAAGATGGAGAATGAAGATAAAAAGCAAGAACTCCTTGAAATGGATCAGGCACTTAAGGAGAGAAATTGGGAACTAAAGCAAAGAGCAGCTCAAGTTGGTTTTCTTAATTATATTTAATGAAATTTTCTGTTACAGTACAATCATGCAGGGTTTTAGAGATCACCACTTTTTGGTAAAATGGACCTTTTTAAAGCATAATATATGTTTTTCTGTGCACATTAATATATAAAAAATTAGAAATATGTCATCTTTCTTCATCTTGCTATTTTTTTTTTTTTTTAAGATTTTTATTTATTTATCTGACAGAGAGAGACAGTGAGAGAGGGAACACTAGCAGGGGGAGTGGGAGAGGGAGAAGCAGGCTTCCTGCTGAGCAGGGAGCCCTATGCGGGGCTCCATCCCAGGACCCTGGGATCATGATCTGAGCTGAAGGCAGATGCTTAACAACTGAGCCACCCTGGTGCCCCCATCTTGCTATTTTTATAGAAAGTCAGTTTTTGAGAATGAAAGTTATTGTAACTCCTTTAATAGTGTGTTTGTTGGAGGAACAAATCTATTCAAAAGGCATCTTTTTTAAAGACTTTCTTAGATCAGTTTTAGGTTCACAGTGAAATTGAGCAGAAGGTACAGAGATTTCCCATATACACCTTGCTACCATAAATGCACAGCCCTTGGAGCAGTTCCTGTCTGCTGCTAAGGTTTCCACGAGAGACGCAAGAAAAAAGTGTCCTCACGCTTTCTGTCTGTCTCATTGTGGCAGTCAAGATTGAATGGGGGAGTGCAGGGAAAAACCAAAAGAATATCTGCAAATCAAAAGTAACTTTGTCAACAATGAAATCTTGTTTTACTCCAAAAAATAAATAAATAAATAAATAAATGCACAGCCTTCCCCATTATCAACATTCCCCACCCAGGTGGTACGTTTGATAATAGTTGAGGAACCTACACATTATAATCATCCAAACTCCATAATTTACATTACAATTCACTCTTGGTGCATACATTCTGTGGGTTTGGACAAATGTTTAATGACATGTATCCATCATTATGATATCGTCCAGGGTATTTTTAAGCCCTAAAAATTTTCTTTGCTCCACCTTTATCCTTCTTCCTCTTCCCCCATCCCTAGCAACCACTGATCTTTTTTATTGTCTCCATCATTTTGCCTTTTCCAGAATGTCATATAGTTGAAATCATATAGTACATAGTCTTTTCATATTGGCTTCTTTCACTTAATAATATTCGTTTAAGTTTTCTCCACATCTTTTTGTTACTTGATAGCTCATTTCTTTTAGCACTGAATAATATTCCATTGCCTAGATGTACTACAGTTTACTTATCCATTCACCTACTGAAGGGCATCTTGGTTGTTTCCAAGTTTTGACAATTAAATGAATAAAGCTGCTATAAACATCTGTGTGCAGGTTTTTGTGTGGACATAAGTTTTTGACTCCTTTTGGTAATTACCAAGGGGCATGATTGCTGGATCATATGGTAAGAGTATGTTTAGTTTTATAAGACACTTCCAAACTGTGTTCTCAAGTGCCTTGTACCGTTTTGCATTCTTACCAGCAATGAATGTGAATTCCTGTTGCTCCACATCCTGGCTAGCATTTGGTGTTGTTTTGGATTTGGCCATTCTCATTAGTGTGTAGTGGTATCTCCTGGTTAATTTGCACTTCTCAGATGACATCATATGATATGGAGGGTATTTTCCTGTGCTTATTTTCTATCTGTATATCTTTTTTGGTGAGGTGTCTGTTACAGTCTTTGGCTCATTTTTTAATTGAGTTGTTTGTTTTCTTACCGTTGAATTTTAAGAGTTCTTTGTATATTTTGGATACAAGTCCTTTTTCAAATGTGTCTTTTGCAGATATTTTATTCCAGTTTGTGGCTTTAATTCACAATCTTTTGACATTGGCTTTCACAGAGCAGAAGTTTTTAATTTTAATGACATCCAGCTTATTAATTATTTCTTTCATGAATTATGCCTTTGGCTTTGCATCTAAAAAGTCATCACCCAAGGTCATCCAAGGCTTTCCTCTATGTTATCTTATAGAAGTTTTATAGTTTTGCAAGTTACATCTAGGTCTGTGATCCATTTTGAGTTAATTTTTGTGAAGGGTGTGGTGTAGACTCATTTTTTTGCATGTCGTTGTCCACTTATTCCAGCACCATTTGTTGAAAAAACTATTTTTTCTCCATTGTATTGCCTTTGCTCCTTTGTCAAAGGTTAATTAACATATTTAGTTTCTGGATTCTATTCTGTACAATTATTTATTCACCTGTGTTTTGCCAGTACCAAGATCTGTTTACTGTAGCTTTTTAGTGTCTTGAAGTCAGGTAATGTCACTCTTCCAACTTGGTTCTTCTTCAGTTATCGTGTTGGATATTCTGGGTGTTTTGCCTCTCCATGTAAATTTTAGGATCAGTTTGTCAATATCCACAAATTAACTTGCTGGAATTCTGATTGGAATTGCCTCGAATGTTTAGATTTAGTTGGGAAGAACTGACATCTTGAATCTTGAAAATATTGAGTCTTCCTATCCATGAATAAGGACTCTCTCTCTATTTAATTCTTTGATTTCTTTCATTAGAGTTTTGTAGTTTCTTTATAGATATTGATATATTTAGCTTGATTTATACCTAAGTATTTTGTTTTGGGGAGTGCTAGTGTAAATCATATTATGTTTTAAATTTTAAATTCCTCTTGTTTATCACTGGTATATAGGAAAGTGACTGATTTTGTGTACTCCTTGTATCCTTCAATCCTGCTATAATCACTTATTAGTTCTAGGAATTATTTTGTCAAATCTTTTGGATTTTCTACCTAGATGATTATGTCATCTATAAACAAACATAGTTTTGTATTCCTTTCTAATATGTGTATCTTTTATTTCTTTTTCTTGTCTTATTGCATTAGCTAGGACTGCTAGAACAGTGTTGAAAAGCAGTAGTAAGAGAGAATATCCTTGCGTTGTATCTGATCTTAGTGGGAACGTTTTGAGTTTCTCACCATTAAGTATGATGCTAGCCTGTTGTTTTTCTATAGATATTCTTTATTAAGTTGAGGAAGTTCCCTTCTATTCCTTGTTTACTGAGAGTTTTTATCATGAAGGTGTGTTGAAATGTCTTTGTCTGGTTTTGGTATTAGGGTAATACTGGCCTCATAGAATGAGTTAGAAGTATTTCCTCTGCTTCTGTCTTCTGAATTGGATTGCAGAGAATTGGTATAATTTCTTTCTTAGATTTTGGTAGAATTCACCAGTGAGCCCATCTGGACCTGCTGCTTTCTGTTTGGGAAAGTTATTAATCGTTACTTTCTTAAATATATATATAAGCTTATTTAGATTGTCTGTTCCTGTGTGAGTTTTGGTAGATTCTATCTTTTAAGTAATTGGTCTGTTTCATTAGTTTTATTAAATTTGTGGTCAGAGAGTTGTTATAGTATTCCTTATTATCCTTTTTTTTTTTTTAAGATTTTATTTATTTGAGAGAGAGAGAGCACATGAGAGGGGGGAGGGTCAGAGGGAGAAGCAGACCCCCTGCTGAGCAAGGAGCCTGATATGGGACTCGATCCCGGGACTCCAGGATCATGACCTGAGCCGAAGGCAGTCGCTTAACCAACTGAGCCACCCAGGCGCCCCCTTATTATCCTTTTAATGTCTATGAGAGTTTTAGTAATGTCTTCTCTTTCATTTCTGATATTAGTAATTTGTGTCCTCTCTCTTTTTTTCTTAGTCTGGCTAGAGGCATACTGATTTTATTGATCTTTTCAAGAATCAGCTTTTGGTTTTGTTGATTTTCTCTGTTGATTTCCTAATTTTAATTTTACTGATTTCTGCTTTAATTTTTATTATTTCTTTTCTTCTGCTTACTTTGGATTTAATTTCTTCTTCTTTTTCTAGTTTCCCAAAGTGGTAGCTTAAGTGATTGATTTCAGGTCTTTCTTCTTTTCTAATACATGCATTCAGTGCTGTACATCTTCCTCCAAACACTGCTTTTTCTGCATTCCACAATTTTTGTTATGTTGCATTGTATTTAGCAGCTTTTATTTAGCATAAAATGGAGTCTAAATCATTTATTTGTTATTTATGAACATAGTTGTATCTTTTCTTTAAGTTTCTGTAATACATATGAGCCTGAAGATTCAGTATTAATAAGCAATGAATATTTTTCTCATTTTGTAAAATAATTTGAGGTGAGTTTATGTTTCAGTTATACCTACTATAAACAATTTTAAGACACATTCTAAGCACACAGTTTTTCACATTAGGATAAAGTCGAGTAATAGCTTAATGTTACTTTTTTTTTTTTAAGATTTTATTTATTTATTTGACAGAGAGAGACACAGTGAGAGAGGGAACACAAGCGGGGAGTGGGAGAGGAGAATCAGGCTTCCTGCCAAGCAGGGAGCCCAGTGGAGGGCTCGATCCCAGGGCCCTGGGATCATGACCTGAGCTGAAGGCAGACGCTTAATGACTGAGCCACCCAGGCACCCCTTAATGTTACTTTTGTATTAACCATCAGAGACTCTTAATCTCAGGAAACAAACTGAGGGTTGCTGGAGTGGGGGAGGGTGGGAGATATGCGGTGGCTGGGTGATGGACATTGGGGAGGGTATGTGCTATGATGAGCACTGTGAATTGTGTAAGACTGATGAATCACAGACCTGTACTCCTGAAACAAATAATACATTTTATGTTAATAAAAAAAAAAAGTTACTTTTGTATTTAGGTTACACATTTGGATATGACTATTCGTGAGCACAGGGGAGAGATGGAACAGAAAATAATTAAATTAGAGGGTACTCTGGAGAAATCAGAATTGGAACTTAAAGAATGCAACAAACAGGTAAATTATTTAAAATTACATATTTTATATTGTTTTGGAAAATAACTCCTTAACTGTAAGCATCTATTATTCACATAATACGGCTTTTTTTTATAGAATACATACAATAAAAATACTACTTTTTTTTTTTTTAAAGATTTTATTTATTTATTTGACAGAGAGAGAGAGACAGCGAGAGAGGGAACACAAGCAGGTGGAGTGGGAGAGGGAGAAGCTGGCTTCCCGCGGAGCAGAGAGCCTGATGCAGGGCTCGATCCCAGGACCCTGGGATCATGACCTGAGCCGAAGGCAGACGCTTAATGACTGAGCCACTCAGGCACCCCAGTACTACATAATTTTAATCACCTTGTACATGCTACTTTAAATTCATTTTTCTCGGGCACCTGGGTGGCTGGCTCAGTCATTAAGCGTCTGCCTTCAGCTCAGGTCATGATCCCAGGGTCTTGGGATTGAGCCCCGCGTAGGGCTCCCTGCTGAGCAGGAAGCCTGCTTCTCCCTCTCCTAGTCTTCCTGCTTGTGTTCCCTCTCTCACTGTCTCTCTCTCTCCCTGTCAAAAAATAAATAAAATCTTTAAAAAATAAATAAATAAGTAAATTCATTTTTCTCCTCTTAATTTTCCCCAGTTTTATTGACATATAAATGACGGAAATTGCATATATTTGAGGTGTACAACGTGTTTGATATATATTTACACTGTGAAGTAGTTATCACAATCAAGCTAATTAACATATCTGTCACTTCAATTATTTTAATTATTTATTTTTGCTGAGAATGCTTAAGGTCTATTCTCTTAGCAAATTTCAAGTATACAATACAGTATTACTATAGTCATATGCTGTACATTAGATTTCCAGAATTTACTCAACCTGTATAACCGAAACCTTAAATGCTTTAAACATTTCCTCATTTTCCTCACTCCCTAGCCCCTGATGATTACCCTCTTAATGTTATTTCGAATGTAGTTTTTCTTGTCTCAGTGTGTCCACATATTTATCATCATGTGTGCATGTTTGAATATGTATAAAGTATCTCTGGAAGGATTTGTAATTCTCTTAACTGTGGTTGCCTCTAAGGAAGAAACACAGTGGGAAGAGGACTTTGTTTTCACTAACTATATTTTTCACCTCTTGTACATATTACCTATAAAATTACTTGTGAGGTCATGTAACATCTGTTGTTTTAATGTACTCTAATTTTCCTTTCTTATACAAATGTGATTGAGATTTTCATCTCTTTTAGTATATTTTAGGTATACAGGGTATATCTTATTAAGCATAAGAATTCTGATATTAATGTCTTGAGTTATGGTGGTCTTAAGAAAAACACATTTTTATATTTTGCTATTGTATATGTGTTTGACTTACTTGGACTGCATTTATGATTAAACAGCTATTTTTCCTTAGTTACATTAATATTGCTCTGTTTAAAATTCAGATAGAAAGTCTGAATGAAAAATTGCAAAATTCCAAAGAACAGCTTCGAGAAAAAGAGTTTATAATGCTACAAAATGAACAGGAGATAAGTCAACTGAAAAAAGAAAATGAACGAACACAACAAAAGATGAAAGAAATGGAAAATGTAAGCACATTATTTTCTGCCTAAGGAACAGAGTAATATTATCTAAAAAGTGATATAAATCTTTGTTTTAAACTGGTTGGTTTTAAAATATAGAAACTGTGCCATAAGTATTTTTAGGCTAATTATTTGTGTCAGATAATTATTGGTTTCTTTGATCTTTTTAAATATTTTACTCTGATGTTCCAATTATAGGCAAGGACATCATCTTACTTTATACTGCCTACAGGCATTGGCATGGTATCTCTCACATAGTAAACCCACGATATGTGCTTACTTGGTCAACAGATATTTATTGAGAACCTACTATGTAATAGAGCTGGAGATACAGATATTAATAAGATACACTCGTTTGTCCTTGAGGAACTCGATCCAGAGAATGAATGAACAGATAATGATTGTACATTATTGAAACCAAATACATTGAGTTAGTTGCCAGATGAAGTTTGATGACTTCGTGTTATCAGTTTGCATGTGTGTTGACTGGTGAACCCATTCTATCCACTTGCCTTTTTAAAAAGTGAATTTGCTTCCAAGAGCTCTCATATATGTAACTTTTTTGTTTTTAAATACTATACTCAACTTTAAAACTTCACATATAGCTCTTTATTGTGTTTCATTATCTGTCTCCTCCAGTAGGATATAAAATCCTTAAGGGTAGCCACTTTGTCTCATTTGCTCACTCCTAAGTCCTCAATACCTAAAACAGCACATATCACATAGTAATCATGAATAAATATTTGTTGAATTATATACATAAATTAAGCAGGGTCTGTGAGAGCAAGTTTGGGCCCCAAGGAAAAGAAAATGATTACTGGCCCAGTCATTTCATGTTCCCTAACAAAGGCCGACTAAAAATATTTACATGAGATTTATACTGATATATAATACAGTTGGACCCAGTGTCCCCATTCCAGACATCAGTGTCCTAATGATTTGTACTCATTTCTTTCCTTCTTATCAGCCCTAAAGTCAATTACCTATCTTCTAATATCCCTCACCGAGCTAATTTAGAACTAACTTTTCACTGATTATTTTTTTCTCTAAGAACACAGTACTTTACTAGGGATTTAACTGAGTAATGTAGAAATGTTTCAGAAGGAGTAGCAGTCCCAGTGGCAGATTTTACTTTTACAGAGAATAAGCTCATGACCTTAACCCAAACATGTGGATTAATGGTGGGTTTTGGTTATTCGTGCCAATATGTTCTCCATCTGTGAAATGGATAATCAGGTATTAGCTTCTTTTGTCTCTTTATATTATTATGTGTTCTGCCATGTTATAGTCATAATGATAAAGGTTTATACAGCTTGCACATTAGTCATGCAAAATATACCAGTTAGTCCCAGATTTATTATAGTACATTTTCTTATCATTAAAAAGGAAAAAAAAAAATTTTCTGAGTATCAGTTTCACAGTGGATGATATTGTGTGTTAAATTTTATAGAGATCGAGTTGGGTTGGGGAAATTAATTAAAAGAGAAATCAGAATAAGAAATAGGTTATCTATATCATTTCATTTTGAAAACTACAAATATCTTGTGTATTTCAGGTTATGAAAGAACAGGAACAGTACATTGCAACTCAGTACAAGGAGGCCATAGATATGGAGCAAGAATTGAGGCTAACTCGAGAGCAGATGCAGAACTCTCATGCAGAATTGTTGGAGGCTCGTCGTCAACAAGTCCAAGCACAGAGAGAGGTAGAAAGGCTGTCAAGTGAACTGGAGGAAATAAAGCAACTCTCTAAAGAAAAAGTAATCCCTATTCTAAATAATTTTACCTTACTAAAAATCTTTAAAATTTTAGCATTTACTTTTTTAAAGTGTAGATTATATTAACTGTTACACACACTGAATGTATTTAATACTACTGAATTTTACACTTAAAACTGGTTAAAGTGGTAAATTTTATGTTATGTATATTTTACTAAAATTTTACGAAGAAAAATGTTATATTTAGTGTAGCCTAGTAATATAAGTAGGAAGACCTTCAGAAATGAGTTTTGGCCAAACTAATTAGTTTTCAATAAATTAAGTTACAAAGTACTTTTAGAGGGAGAAGCAGGCTTCCCGCAGAGCAGGGAGCCCTACGTGGGGCTGGATCCCAGGACTCTGGGATCATGACCTGAGCCAAAGGCAGACGCTTAACGACTGAGCCACCCAGGAGCGCCAAAGCTAATCTTTTTTGAGTAAAATTTTTACATTTGTAGCTACTGTTAAAAGTGAAATCTAAATTTATAACTGTTATGAAATCTGTAGTCCAGAACCCTTAGGGAGAGAAAGTGCTTTTAATAGCAAGAACAATAATATAAATTGTATTTCCCCAGTATTTGGTAGAAGGTTAACAATTTTGCTTAAAAATACTTAGATTGATATCCTTGGGTTAATTACTTAGACTTTGAGAAAAATTTATTTATTGAGTTTTAGAAAAGTGCCTGTGAGTCTTCTGCTTTTTATTATGCTTACTAATATAGTATAGGAATTGCATTAAAGTATCTTTACATTTAATTTTGGTAAACAATGCTTTTATTCACACATCTGGTTGGTTAGACTAATAAAGAATATAGGGCGCCTGGGTGGCTCAGTTGGTTAAGCGACTGCCTTCGGCTCAGGTCATGATCCTGGAGTCCCTGGATCAAGTCCCGCATCGGGCTCCCTGCTCGGCGGGGAGCCTGCTTCTCCCTCTGACCCTCCCCCCTCTCATGTGCGCTCTCTCTCATTCTCTCTGTCTCAAATAAATAAATAAAAATCTTTAAAAAAAAAAAAAAAAGAATATATAAGGGGGGGTGCCTTGGTGGCTCAGTTGGTTAAGCGTCTGCCCTGGACTAGGTCATGACCTGGGATCGAGCCCTGCGTCAGGCTCCCTGCTCAGCGGGGGGTCTGCTTCTCTCTCTCTGCCTCTGCCCCTCCCCCACTCATGCTCGTGCTCTCTCTCTCAAATAAATAAAATCTTTTTTTAATAGGTTCATAAATTACATCTTTTTTTGAAAGATCTTATTTAAGAGAAAGAGAGAGGGAGCATGGGCAGGGGGAGAGGCAGAGGGAGAGGCAGACTCCCCACTGAGCAGGGAGCCTGACACAGGACCCAGTCCCAGGACCCTGGGAACACAGGCCAAAGGCAGACGCCCAACCAACTAAGTAACCCAGGCCCCTCTAAAATCTTTTTTTTAAAAAAAGAATATATAAGGAATTTTTATTAGAATATGTTGGCATTTGGAAGTCTCCTAGGAAAAGCTCCTAGGAAGCTATCTACTTTTATCTCATCTCTGTCCTTATCAGTAGTATCTAAGTATAGTACAATTGATTTTATGTGGATAAGGTAAGCTCAGTTAATCAAAAAAGTGAATCAAAGTGGGGAATTATTTAAAGTGACAGTTTAACATGAAAAAATGCTCAACAGCACTCAGCATCAGGGAAATACAAATCAAAACCATAATGAGATACCACCTCACACCAGTCAGAATGGCTAAATTTAACAAGTCAGGAAACGACAGATGTTGGCGAGGATGTAGAGAAAGGGGAATCCTCTTACACTGTTGGTGGGAATGCAAGCTGGTGCAGCCACTCTGGAAAACAGTATGGAGGTTCCTCAAAAAGGTAAAAATAGAACTATCTGAGGATCCATCAATTGCACTACTTGGTATTAACTCAAAGGATACAAAAATTCTAATTCAAAGGGATACAGGCACCCTGATGTTTATACCAATATTACCTACAATAGCCAAATTATGGAAAGAGCCTAAATGTTCATCGACTGATAAATGGATAAAGAAGATATAGTATATAGATAAAATGGAACATTATGCAGCCATAAAAAAGAATGAAATCTTGCCATTTGCAATGACATGGCTAGGGCTAGAGAGAATTATGCTAAGTGAAATAAGTCAGAGAAAAACAAATACCATATGATTTCACTCATATGTATAATTTAAGAAACAAAATAAATGAACATGGGTTGGGGAGGAAGAGAGGAAAACCAATTAACAGACACTTAACTACAGAGAACTGATGGTTACCAGAGGGGAGGTACATGGGAGGATGGGTTAAACGGGTCATGGGGATTAAGGAGGGCACTTGTAATGAGCACTGGGTGTTGTGTGTAAGTGCTGAATCACTAAATTCTACATCTGAAACTAGCTTGAATTTAAATGAAACTTGAAAAAGAAAATAAAGTTACTTTTTTCTCCATTTTTTAATTTAAATTCAATTAATTAACATATAATGTATTACTGGTTTCAGAGGTAGAGGTCAGTGATTCATCAGTCTTATATAATACCCAGTGCTTATTATATCATGTGTCCTAATGTCTATCACCCAGTTACCCCATCCCCCCACCTCCCTCCCCTCCAGCAACCCTCTGTTTCCTATGATTAAGAGTCTCTTACGGTTTGTCTTCCTCTCTGGTTTCATCTTGTTTTATTTTTCCCTCTCTTCCCCTATGATCCTGTTTTGTTTCTTAAATTCCACATATCAGTGAGACCATATGAGAACTGTCTTTCTCTGATTGACTTATTTCCCTTAGTTAGCATAATACCCTCTAGTTCCATCCACATCATTGCAAATGGCAAGATTTCATTTTTTTGATGGCTGAGTAGTATTCCATTGTATATAAATACCACATTTTCTTTACCCATTCATCTGTCGATGGACATCTGGGCTCTTTCCATAGTTTGGCAATCGTGGACACTGCTGCTGTAAACACTGGGGTGCAGGTGCCCCTTCGGATCACTACGTTTGTATCTTTGGGGTAAGTACTCAGTAGTGCAATTGCTGGGTCACAGGGTAGCTCTGTTTTCAACTTTTTGAGGAACCTCCATACTGTTTTCCAGAGTGGCTGCACCAGCTTGCAGTCCCACCAACAGTGTAAGAGGATTCCCCTTTCTCTGCATCCTTGCCAACACCTTTTTCTGCATCCTTGTTTCTTGTGTTATCTTTGGCCATTTTGAGGTAGTATCTCACTGTAGTTCTGATTTGTTAAAATGATAGTTTAAAATAAAATATTTCAACTCAAAACTCTAAATATATATTCATGTGTAATCTTTTAATTTAGGACCAAATCTTGCTTTTTGTGTGTATGGGCAGGGTCTTTGATTAGAATTCCACCTAATCTTTTCGCATTAACCATACTCCTGTTCCCTCATCTATTGTTTCCAATTTTGGTTTCTTTAAAGTAGAAGAAGAATTAAAAGACATTTGTAAATCAATTAGAATTCAACATCTCTTATATTTTACATGGGGTTTCCCACAATATTTTACAACTATTTGGCTGCTTCTAATTGGGTAAAAAATGTTTATGACTCATTCATTAAGCTGTCTCAAAGCATATAACTTTCTTTTCATATAAAAACTTTCTTTTTGCATGTATATTTCCTCAGTGTTCATACATAATGTATATTAGAATTGCATAATTATAATCACAAGCACAACTAGCATAAATAGGTTTGGACAAATACAAAACTGACTCTTTTTTTTTTAAAGATTTTATGTATTTATTTGAGAGAGAGCATGCGTGCTCTCACCAGTGGAGAGAAGGGCAGAGGGGAAAGCAGACTCCCTTCTGAGCGGGGAGCCTGGCAACACAGAGCTCAATCCCAGGACCCTGGGATCATTAAAGGCAGATGCTTAACTGAGTGAGCCACCCAGGCGCCCCACAACTGACTCTTGATAAGCAAACAGTGCATCTGGTGAACAAAATGCACAGGCAAACCTTAGAGTAGACTTACCTGCCAAAGTTCAACATGCTGTGGTTGTTTTACAGAATGCATTGGTTAGTGAAGTATTATATTATGATAAACAATATACTAATACAGTCCCATTTGTAGTCTCTTAAATGTCTAGATTTTAAAGTGTACCATTTAATAAGTTAACTTTGTATATGAACACTTACATAGTATTATAAAAGATTAATATACAGGGGTGCCTGGGTGGCTCAGTCAGTTAAGCAGCTGCCTTCGGCTCAGGTCATGATCCCAGGGTTCTGGGATCAAGCCCCACATCGGGCTCCTAGCTCAGCGGGGAGTCTGCTTCTCCCTCTTCCTCTGCCTGCCGCTCCCCCTGCTTGTGCTCACTCTCTCTCTGGCAAATAAAAAAAAAAAAAAGATGAAAATACTTCCATAAATGCACGTGATTGGTTTAGCTATAATAACCAAACAAACAACCTTTCCTTAATATGGTCATTTTTAAGGAAGCTCATGGACACCATTTAGCTGAAGAACTGGGGGCTTCTCAAGTACGTGAAGCTCATTTAGAAGCAAGAATGCAAGCAGAAATCAAGAAATTGTCAGCAGAAGTAGAATCTCTCAAAGAAGCTTATCATCTGGAGGTAAAGAAAAATGTAATTTGTTCCAGTACTCCCTGCTAAAGTGAACTATCTGAACAAAAGTATAAGTCTAGCTTCTAAATGTTCATTAGAGAGTAACTCATTGTGGTCTTCATTTCTGGTAGCTTAATATAACTTCCACTTCATATCCAGTGAGCTAATACACTATGGAGTTAAGAGCTTAAATTCTTGAGGCAGGCAGTCTGGTTCCAAATCTCAGCTTACCATTTAGCACTTATGTGACCTTGAGCAATTAACATCTCTGTCTAAAATGGGCATAATAATCATATGTACCTCATAGAACTGGATTAAATGAATTAAATGGATTAAATGAATATAGTTAAAGTTCTTAGACCTGAGGCTGGCTCATCATCATCATCATCAGTTATTAAATAGCGCTTGCCAAAACTAACTGGAGATATTTTGTAAACAACATAAGGAGTTTCATGTGATATGAATTTTTTTTTTTGAGATCTGAAAAATAATTTATTGGCTTCAAAATACAAAAATAAAATGGGAAAATAAAAATCAATAGATGTTTAATTGTCTACAAAAGTAGTAGCAACCACTCAGCTTCATCTCAACTCTTTTCTAGCTATGTCAAACATATTTAATATGGGACATGGATGCCTTTTATATGTTTGATGTGATTCAGAGTAAAGCCTCCAAAAATTAAAATGTTCATAGCCTTCAAGCTCCTCAAATTTCTCAGCTCACCCTGAGCATTGCATCCACATTATTTATATTTGTATACTGCTCTGGGAATCTTTGATTATAAGAATCTTTAGCATCTGTTTCCAGGGAGACAGCAGGTGGAAGGAATCATGAGAAACACAGGCCCCAACTCTTGACCCCAGCTTCATTTCATTTTTGTTAACAAGGGACTGGTTAACAGCGACTCAGTTCCCCATGACACTGCTTAGCCCAGAATCATATCTGTTGCCTCATTCTTCTTGTTCTGGAGAGCCAAAGAACTAAAATATGTAAATGAGCTATATTTAGGTTTGTAGATAAATTTAAAATTCTTAGATAGGAGATACCATGTTGCCAGCTTACAATATGTTAATTACCAGGGATTTCTTTCTGTTAGTTATCTAAAACTTAGAGTTTATTTTTGTCCAGAAATATGTTACAAGTGATTGGTAGTTTTTTTTTTCTTTTTTTTATTCTTATGTTAATCCCCATCATGTGATACGAATTTATAATGCTTTGCAATTTATAATATTTGTTCTGATAGTAAGTTAGAGAGGCAAAATTAGAACCTGATGCTTTTTATCTACTTGTAGGTCCTGAGCCTTTATAGAAATGAGCAATGTTAGCAATTAGAATAGCATTTCTTGTCTTTTTTGTTGTTGTTACAAAGGCGTTTAGTTTATTCTCATCAGTGTCACTGATATTCCCATGGTTCACATTTCCCAGTGCGGCTACATTTCTTGTCTTTTTGTCTTTTTAAAAATTACATCTAAAGATATCTAAAATGTATGTATTAGACTTAAACTACTTAGGGACTTCTAATAAAACATTTTTCTATATGACAAGGATTACAACTATATTTATATTAAACTCCTTTCAAAGGAGTTTGGGACTATCTTTGTGAGGGATTGGTAGGGCTTGTAGTCACCATGTCTTGGTTAAGTGCGTTTAGATTCTGATCTCTTTGAAAACGTTGTGTCTGCCAAATAAAACGTGTTTGCAAGCTGAATCCAGTTAGCAGGCTAAGAGATTTAAATCCTTGGTCTTTAAAGACAAATGGAATGCTGTTGGATTCAGCATAATTATTTAATAAATAAATATTAGCTACTCAACCCAGGTGACCATCAGTAATAACTAGTCCAGCTCAAGTGTTTACCAGCAAGTATTCTTTGCACTTTTAATATGTGGTCTCTGTTCTACTTTTATTTCTTATTATCTAATTTTTTACTTTAAGCTTTGTAAGCCCTCTGAAATTATAAGCAGATAGTACATAAAATGAATTGTAAAAATAGGTTTTACTGTTGTTTAATATTTGGTATTGTTTTATATGTAAGATACAAAAATTTGTAATATGTTTTTATCCTCTTTGGTACTTGACAAAGATTTATTTTTAAAGCATGTATGTTGTTTGAATATAAAAATGAAGAAATAAGTCATTAAAGTAACAGAGTTAGTAAAAAAGGATCAATAATTTTTAACAGCATTTAAAAAATTACAGGTTTCAGAATTGTCAGAAAAGTCACTTAATAATAATTGCAAAAGCCCTGATATTTTTTTTTTTAAGATTTTATTTATTTGAGAGAGAGAATGAGATAGAGCGAGCATGAGAAGAGGGGAGGGTCAGAGGGAGAAGCAGACTCCCTGCTGAGCAGGGAGCCTGATGCAGGACTCGATCCCAGGATTCCAGGATCATGACCTGAGCTGAAGGCAGTCGCTTAACCAACTGAGCCACCCAGGCGCCCAGCCCTGATATTTTTTTAAAGATTTTATTTATTTATTTTTACGAGAGAGAGAGAGAGAACACAAGCAGGGGGAGTGGCAGGCAGAGGGAGAGGGAGAAGCAGACTCCACGCTCAGCAGTGAACCCAATTCAGGACTTGATCCCAGGACCCTAGGATCATGATCTGAGCTGAAGGCAGACACCCAACCGACTGAGCCATCCAGGCACCTCCCCTGATACTTTTGATTAAAAATCTATTTTTTTCTTTTTTTTTTCGCCTGGGTGGCTCAGTCGTTAAGCGTCTGCCTTCGGCTCAGGTCATGATCTCAGGGTGGGGGGATCAAGCCCCACATTGGGCTCCCTGCTCTGCAGGAAGCCTGCTTCTCCCTCTCCCACTACCCGCTGCTTGTGTTCCTTCTCTCACTGTCTCCCTCTATCAAATAAATAAATAAAATCTTAAAAAAGAAAAAAAGTTTTTATTATGGAAAATTTTGAAAGAATGGTATAAATCCTCCTAGATTTATTATTCAACTTTAGTAATTATCAATTTGTGGCCAATGTGATTTCATCTATACTTATGTTGACCATTTCTTTTTATTTTTCTTATTTTTTTATTTTTATTTTTTTAAAGATTTTATTTATTTTATTTATTAGAGAGCGAGCGAGAGAGAAACAGCATGAGAGGAGAGGGTCAGAGGGAGAAGCAGGCTCCCCGCTGAGCCGGGAGCCCAATGTGGGACTCGATCCCAGGACCCTGGGATCATGACCTGAGCCGAAGGCAGTCGCTTAACCAACTGAGCCACCCAGGCGCCCCGACCATTTCTTTTTAAAAGGGAATAAATACTTTTGAGAATGAAAAAGGGTGCTGTTCATAACTACACCAGGACACGAGGCATAAATCCTGGCCAGTCCACCATATCTTTAACCTCACTCACTTCCCTTCCCCCACATATCTCATTGTATTTTGAAGCAAATCCCAGACATCATTATTTCATCAGTAAACATTTCAATAAGTATCTCTAAAAGATAAGAGCTGTTTTTTAAAAACATAACCACAATACTATTACTATAATTAAAAATTGATAGTAATTCCTTAATATTATCAATTACCCATCATTTGTTCACATTTTCCCAATTATCACAAAAATGTCTATATAGTTAAGTGCAAATCAGGATCAAAAAAAACAGCCCATTGTATTTGGTTAACTGTTACTAGGTAATTTAAGACCATAGGTTTCTTCTTCTCCTTTTTTTCCTCTAATAGGTTATGTGTTGAGAAATCAGATGTTTGTACCTAAAAACAGAATTTACTTCAGTATAAATGGAAGTGAAAAGTATTAGAATGTTTTTGAAACCAACCCCACCCTATTTTTTTCTTTTCTTTTTCAATTCTGGGGCTGTGTAGATGATTTCACATCAAGAGAACCATGCGAAGTGGAAGATTTCTGCTGACTCTCAAAAGAGTTCTGTTCAGCAACTAAATGAACAGTTAGAGAAGGCAAAACTGGAATTAGAAGAAGCTCAGGACACCGTAAGCAATTTGCATCAACAAGTCCAAGATAGGAATGAAGTAATTGAAGCTACAAATGAAGCATTACTTATTAAAGTAAGTAAACATATAAAAGTACATAAAACACATCAATGAAAAAGTACATTTATGACTTTTTTCCCCATCCTTATAGTTCATAAAGGAAAATATGACCAAATGTCGACCAGTTTGAATAAAAAGCATTTTATTTAGAAGACACTGGATGTAGGGATTATAAGTATGATGTATATATCATATTACCGTAGGAGAAATAATTTATAAATGTTTGAAGACAAACTTAAAATTTTTAAAATTTATTTCTATTTTTTTGGTAGGAACATTTAAGTTCTACTCTCTTAGCAAATTTCAGTTATACAATACCTGTATTACCAACTGTAGTCACCATGTTATACATTAGATCCTCAGACCTTATTCATCTTCTAGCTAAAAGGTTGTACAAACCTCTGTTTCCCCCACTGCCTAGCAACCCCTTTTCTATCTGCTGTTTCTGAGTTTGATTCTCTCTCTTTTCTTTTTAAGACTCCACATATAAATGATACCATGAACTATTTGTCTTTCTTTTATTTAATTTAGCATAATGCCCTCAAGGTCCATCCATGTTGTCACAAATTGCAAGATGTCCTTTCTCATGGCTGAATAATATTCCATTGTGTGTATGTACACACCACATCTTTATCCCTTCATCTGCTGATGAACACTTTGTTTGCTTATTTTGGCTATAATGCTGCCAGGAATGAACTTGGGAATACATATATCTCTTTGATATCCTGTATTAATTCCCTTTGTATATATACCCAAAACTGGTGTTGCAGGATCATATGGTAGTTCTAATTTTAATTTTTTGCAGAACCTCCATACTGTTTTCCACAGTGGCTGTCCCAATTTACATTCCACCAACAGTGCACAGAGGTTCCCTTGTATCCACACCCACACCAACACTTGTTATCTCTGGGTTTTTGTTTTTTGTTTTGTTTTTTTGTGGGGTTTTTTGATACTAGCTGTTCTCACAGGTGTGAGGTAATATTGTGGTTTTGATTTGCATTTCCCTGATGATGAGTGATGTTGAGCACCTTTTCCTGTATCTGTTGCCCATTTGTACATCTTATTTGGAAAAATATCTGTTCAGTTCCTCTGCTGATTTTTAATTGGATTGTTAGGGTTTTGAGTTGAATGAATTCTTTATATATTTCAGATATTCACCCTTTATCGAATATATGATTTGCAAATATTTTCTCCCATTCTGTAGGTTGCCTTTTCATTTTATTATTGATAGTTTACACTGCTGTGTAGAAGCTTTTTAGTTAATATAGTCCCATTTGTTTATATTTGCTTTCATTGCCCTAGCTTTTGTGTCAAATCCAAAAAATTATTGCCAAGCTTGATGTCAAGTAGCTTAACCCCTATTTTTTCTTCTAGGAGATTTATGGTTACACTTAAATTTAAGTGTTTCGTCCATTTGGAGTTGATTTTTGTATATGGTGTAAGATAGTGATGCAGTTTCATTCTTTTGTATCTGACTGTCCAGTTTTCCCAGCACCATTTATATAGATACTATCCTTTTCCCATTGTGTATTCTTGGTTCCTTTGTCATAAATTAACTTGCTCTATATGCATGGGCTTATTCCTGGACTGTCTGTTCTGTTCCATTGATCTGTGTATACATTTCTATACCAGTACCATACTGTTTTTATTACTATAGCTTTGTAATATGGATTGAAATGAAGAAGTGTGATGCCTTCAGCTTTCTTCTTTTTTCTTAAGATTACTTTAGATATTTGGGGTCTTTTCTAGTTCCATACAGATTTTTAGGATTGTTCTATTTCTTTGAAAAATGCCATTGGAATTTGGATGGGGATTGAATGAATCTGTAGATTGCTTTGGGTAGTATATTGATTTTGTATCCTACAACTTTACTGAATTCATTTATTCTAACGATTTTTAATGGAGTTTTTAGTGTTTTCTATATATAATATGTGATCTGCAAATACAGCTTCTTTCCAATTTGGATACTTTTTTTTTCTTTTTCTTCTCCTTTCTTTCTTTCTTTCTTTGTTTCTTTTTCTTTCTTTCTTTCTTTCTTTCTTTCTTTCTTTCTTTCTTTCTTTCTTTCTTTCATTCAGAGGGAGAGAGAAGGGAGTGGGAGGGGCAGAAGGAAAGAGAGAAAGAATCCTAAGCAGGCTTGATGCCCAGTGTGGAGCCTGACACAGGGCTTGATCTCACAACCCTGAGATCATAACTTGAGCCGAAATCAAGAGTCAGACGCTTAACCAACTAAGCAACTCAGGTGCCTCTTTTATTTCTTTTTCTTGACTAATTGCTCTGGGTAGGACTTCAAGTACTATGTTGAATAAAAGTGGCAAGAGTGGGGCACCTGGGTGGCTCAGATGGTTAAGCGTCTGCCTTCGGCTCAGGTCATGATCCCAGGGTCCTGGGATCGAGTCCCGCATCGGGCTCCCTGCTAGGC